TTAGCTGCTCTGTGGGTTCAGAGGTTTTAGCTGCTCTGTGGGTTCAGGCAGGGAGGGGATGCCGACAGCTGCTGGAGACTCAGTCTGTCCTCTTTGTCTCTGTGTCCACAGAGGACGAGTGTGTGATCATCAAGTCTGAGCTCGGTGCAGCAGCGGCCGAGGAGCAGCGTCCTCCCTCTCAGAGCGCCGAGGAGGTGGCCGACTCCCTTCTCCACCTGGGTCGGGTCTCCAGCGGTGATGTTGAGCGTGCGGCCGTTCAGCAGCCTGTTGCCATGGAGACCGAAGATGTCGGCGTGGCAGCTGAACGGGGTGAGGGAGTAAAGGACCAGCAGGAGGGGGACATGAGTGAGGGTAGAGAGGAGGAGGAGGAGGCACCAAGAGGTCACGTGCTGGAGGAGGAAGAGGTGCATGTTGACATGAGGAACCACGTGAGTGAAGGAATCCACCTGGACCAGATCAAAGGTGAGGAGGAGGAAGAAGAGGAGGAGGAGATGGTCGTGTCGGTGCAGCAGACACAGAAAACTCCTGCAGGAGACGAGGAGGAGCACAGGAGCCGTTTCCTCTCCATACCTGATGTGCCATCTGCGGTCCGAACCATCACCAGCACAGCAGCCGCTCAGGGAACACACTTCAACATCCAGGACCACAGTCCTCTGGAGGACTACATCAGAACCGGTCCGCTCAATCTGAGCCCAGTCCAGAACCACAAGAGCAGCTACAGTTCCCACAGGACCAGTCCTCTGGAGGACTACGTACATGTCCCCAGAGGAGACGACTATAAAATCCACAAGGCCTCCTCCTCGGCCTCTCCGGACATCATCGAGGTGCAGTCGGAGGAGAAGGACTTCGACGACTTGGACGAAGACGACGAGCGGGACGACGAGGACAGCCTGTCGCAGCGCTCCGGCGTCACCGATGAGTCGGAGATGTTTGACATGACCCGAGGGAACCTGGGCCTCCTGGAGCAGGCCATCGCCCTGAAGGCCGAGCAGGTGAAGCTGGCTGGACCCAGAGAGCTGCTCCGCGCCCCGGATATCCACCACCAGAGATACTTCACCATCGAGGACCGGCCCAAACACCTGGATGTCCTCCGGAAAACCTACTTCAGCAAAGGTAGGCCAGCTCCCTGGGGCCCATGTCTGTCTGTCTGTTAGCAAAATATCTCACGACCCACTGGACAGACTTTAATGAAACATTCACACAACAATCACTAGATGTACCGCCTCAACTTTAGGAGCCATTCCAATTCAAGATGGCTGCCACAGTCAGCACAAATAATGCTGTAACTCAGTCCAATTTACAGATATTCAGCTAAAGGTTGGTGTGGTAGTAGCTGAGAGTCATACACAGCAGGTACTTCATTCTCAACAAAAAATGATTTCAGCCTAAAATAATGTAAATATTTAAAAGATATAATGTATTTATATATTTAACTCAGTCAGAAGCTTTGGGTACGTTCAAAAACCACACAATGTTTGTCATTTTGTCTTTTTAAGTTTTCCTTCAAAGCACACAAAGTTTTAAATCAGTTTGCTTTGAAACCAAATGTAACTTTTTATTAAAATAATTCAAACCTCTCTAAAAATATATATTGTTGTGAAATAGTGAGAGGGTAGGTTGAGGTGAGGCTGATCGAAAATTGGGTTAAAATCCAAAATGGCCGCCACAATGTAATAAATATAAACAGGTCGACTGGATCATTTGAGTAAACTTTGCTTTTTAGTTTTTATTTTGCTTAAAAGTAGTTTCCTAAAATGATTGGGGTGGCTGAAGATTAATCTATGAGGGGCTAGGCCACCATTAGCCACCCTCGGGCTCCACCCTGCACCAGCTGGGGGATGAAGTCGTTCCCTCCGCTCTCCTGGATCCGTCTCTCTGCTCGGCCTCGGACAAGCAAAATAAAAAACCTCCGTCTGTTCTTCTCCACGTGCAACATTTAGGTTCACTTCATTTTCTGCTCAGAATCCAGAAAAACATGTATCTCCAAAACTACAAACATTCCCAGTTCAGACCCCTGAGCGACGCACTGCTGGTTTCACTTCAGGGTGTTTGTGGCAGGAGTTGTTTGTAAAGAAGTGAATCAGTGCACCGAACAAACGGCGGTGAGTCGCCGAGCGCCGTTAAAAGATCCTCTCCTCTGTGGCGGCGATGAAGTGGCTCCAGCTGAACAGACGACGGCGAAGCGTGGAGAGGAAGTGCTCGAGGAGGAGCGGCGTGCTGCGGAGAGGAGGAGGAGGAGGAGGAGCGGAGTGTTTGTTTACGTCCTGCTCTTGTTTTTCTCTGTTGGCACTCGGCCCACTTGTCATGCTGACGGTGTGATTACACGGCTCGTCGTGCTGCCCTCGCCTTGGCCTCAGCTCCCTCCTGTGGCGGCGTCCCTGTTCTGCTCAGCGCTAATTAGCAGATACACGTCTCGTTAACATTCAATTTTGAAGGCCAGTAGAGCATCGAGACGTCCTCTGGCTTTGCTTCTCCCTCTTCCTGTTGATGCAGACTGGATTAACTCCAGAAGCAGCAGCGAGAATCACACAGGACGCTCCGCGTGTCACAACAACACGACCGATTCCTCTCTTTGGATTAGTCACAAGACCAGGAGAAGCAGAGAAGTTCAAAGACATACCAAGATAAATTAAATAAAGTCGAGGTAAATGTTGGAGAACGCCATTCATCAAAAACAATTTATCTCCTTAAATACACTTCAGCTCGTCAAGCGTTAGAAACGATATTACGTCATGAGAACCTTTAAGACTCGGAGCCAGTTTTCAGCAGAACGTAAATTAAATAATAAGACGTGATTTGTTTATATTCCTCAGGAAGTCCAAATATGGCAGTGTGTGCTTTACAGAAAGTATTTTTAAACATCACAATTATTCTGCAAGTACGCGAGGACTAACTGACTGGAGGAGGAGATGACAGCAGGGAGCGTTGACCACAGCAGCAGAAAACTATAAAAGACTAAAACTGTCTGTGTCGTCATTTTAAAGGAAACTAAAGAGAAGCCGTTTTCAGAGCAGCGAGCTAAAACAGAAATCATTCTGACGTTTCGTTTATTTTTATTTAAACGTCCTCAGATCAGTAATTAGCAGCAGAATTGAGTTTGATATGTAATGTTTTGAAATGAAGATTTTAAAACTATTTCTGATTTAGACATAAGGTAAGAGGGGCAGGTGAGACTGTGCTTTGTAATTATGAAGCAGTCAGTATCTTACCTGCAGCAGGTAACAGTCAGAATGATCTCAGTTTGGAGAAATTCTCCTGGAAAAGCCGAGCTAACGGCTAATCGGATCAGCAACGGTTCAGAAGTGGATTCCCGTTTTTAACAACTCAAACTGAAAACACTTGATTCAGTATTTTGACTTTTTTTTTTGTTTACTTTTACACAAGGCAGCTCCTACGCTGAACCTTGGCGTTGCTACGCTAACCATGCTAACAGTGTTCATCAAAGTGTCCCGCTGCCGGTCAGCTGAGTCCTCTGACTCAAAGAGGTCAGCCACTCGACCGAGGGCTGCGTTACAGGTGCCCACTATTTATAAACCTCAGCATATTTTCTTGTAGTCACATTATTTTGTTACGTCACCTCGGTTTGTTTTGTTCCCTCCTCGGCGGCCGCCCAACGTTTATGATTTAATCCATGTGAGTTCATTTGGAAATAAGGAAGGCAGATTATGACCAGTTTTTAATAATTCATTATTTATGGAAACTACACTGAGACAAGTTGGAGACGCCCGCAACGAAACCGAGAAGGTTCAAGACTCCCTCAGCTGTCACAAATCAACCTTTCTGCAGCTGTCGATGTTTGTTTGTATTTTATTACAAATACAAAAAACATTAAAGTGTTTCTGTTTCTATTAGCGGTTAGCTTGACTCCTTTATGGGAATTAATCCCTGATTTTGTCTCTCGGCGCGGAGCGAAAGGGGAGGTTTGGAAATACCGTCTGTCCAGCTGTAACTGTGAGCGAGCACAATAATTAAAAAAATAAGTAAGTAACCGACTTCCACTTCGGTGTGTGGCTACATCTAGGGGTAAGAAAGGCTTCTTTCACAAATTGGGTTGCCAGGTCAAAATCCAAGATGGCTGCTAGAAAAACAAGCAACCAGCCAACTTCCTTTCTGGTGTGTGGCTGCATCTCCGCATAAGAAGGTCACTATCGAAAACTGAGTTGCCACATCAAAATCCAAGATGGCTGCCACCGTATATTTATTCAAACCAGTCACCCGTATCATTTGAGAAAACTATGCTTTCTAGTTTTTTATTGCTTAAACGTAGTTTCCTCAAATGATTGGGGTGGCCGAAGATTAATCTATAGTGGCCAAGGCCACCATTGGCCACCCCCTGGCTCCACCATTGTACCTGGTGGTGGATAAAACGTCTCCCTTCACTCAGCAGGATCTGTCACTCTGCGTCGCCTCGGACAGGTTAAAAAAAACTACCTCTGTTCTCCACAGCGCAACTCCTCCACACGAATATCTTGCACCAAAAACATTTAGGTTTACCTGCAGTCCCTGTTCACTTCCAGTCCAGAAAAACACTCATCTCCAAAACTACACTCACTATTCAAATCCCTCAGGGCGGGGGACATCGGTGTACCACTTGTTTTTTTACAAGATGGCTCCGACTGCAGATCCAGTTGTCTGAAATATGTTTGGCTTTAGATGGTGTTGTTCTGGTCCAGTTGTGTGAAAAATCTTAAGGTTTAGATGGTGTTGTTCTGGTCCAGTTGTGTGAAATATGTCTTGGTTTATGCTCATCTGAGCAGCCCGTTGATGACATTAACCTCTTGCTGTGCTCCTCTTTTCCCATCCATCCTTCGTTCCTCTCATCCATCTGTCTTCACTTCCTGTTCCTGACCGGACCAGAGAGGCCAGAGAAGAGAGAGAACAAGTGTCCCACGCCGGGCTGCGACGGGACGGGTCACGTGACGGGTCTTTACCCCCACCACCGCAGCCTGTCGGGCTGTCCGCACAAGGACAGGATCCCCCCTGAGAGTGAGTGGGGCTCTTTGTATTTCTGCTCTTAAAACGGTAACTATGTAAAGGAAGAAAATGCTGCCTGTCATGGTAATATAATCCTAGATTTATTGTTAAAACTTGCACAACACTAACTAAAAGCAGCAAAATATTAGCTAAAAGTTGAAGTAACAAAGGACTAGGTAAAGCCTCTAGATGGTAGCTAAATGGTAAACGTAGCAAAATGCTTACAGAAGCAAAAAATAGCAAAATGCTAGCTAAAAGTAGAAGGATGCTTCCTGAAAGTATCAAAAGGATATCTAGAAGCTAAACGGGAAAAAAAAGCTATTTAAATGTAAAAAATCTTTAAGTAGCAAATTTCTACGTGAAAGTATCAAAAGGATATTTAGAAGCTAGATGTAACAAAAGGCTAGCTAAATGTAAAAAAAAAATGTTAACTAAAAGCCAAATGTAGCTAAATGCTAGCAAATATCTGAAAGTAGCAAAATGCTACTTAAAGGTATTAAAGGGCTAGCTAGTTGCTAATTATGTCAAAAGCCTATACAGAAGTTAAAAGTATCAAAAGGCTAGCTAGAAGCTAAAAGTATTTAGCAGCTGAAGCAGATTTCAAAGAGAATGATGAATTTAAAAGAATCAATGAGATCTCAATGTGGAAAAAAATTGTTAATAAATAACAATTATTATTATATATATATATATATATATATATATATATATATATATATATATATATATATATATATCATTCTCAGGAATGAGCTGAAAGTTTTAAACAGCTAAAATAGCCCCAAGTCTGCAGAAGTAGTTAGATTGTAATAAACGATGTGAGTGTTGAGTCGGCGTTCAGGAGTGAGGAAATGTTCTTCAGGTTGATCAAATCGTGTTTTCTCTCTGAGCCTGTGCTCTCACGTCTTCTCAGTTCTGGCCATGCACGAAAATGTGCTGAAGTGTCCGACTCCCGGCTGCACCGGTCAGGGCCACGTGAACAGCAACCGCAACACTCACCGCAGGTAAACCTCCCTGTGGGGTTCGTTCTGCTGTCGGTACTTTGCTGCTGCCTTTTTTTTTTTTTACATTTTCCGTCTTCCTGTCCCTCCAGTCTGTCCGGCTGCCCGATCGCTGCAGCAGAGAAGCTGTCCAAGAGCCACGACAAGCAGCATGTGCCTCAGCCGGGCGGCGAACTTCTCAAAGGAAGTCCCAACGACAGAGTCCTCAGGTGGGTCAACCAAGAGTTCATCGTGGCTCAGTTTGGATCCTTGTCGCTACGTGCAGAGGTGGTCTGAGGATCTGAGTCAACAACAAAGTCCTGCAGTTCAATCATTTCTGTCACTTTGAACTCCAGCATCTCTTCATCTTCATTCATCTCCCCAAACCACCCTGGCACCGCGATCATGGCCGAAAGAATGATAATTAACACCAACCTGACACCGGTTTGATGCTCCCCCTCGTTGGTATTTTAATTAATAATGCAGCCGATATGCTAATTATGCCAGTTATACAGGCGTTGGCGGGAGGATAGGAAGAAATAATTGCTTTCCTGAAGGAAAACCTCATCACTGGTCGGACAAAGCATCGGATTAAAACACAATAAGGCTCGCTTTTGTTTTTCCTCCTCAGATTGTTATTCAAATGAGCTGCTTTCTGACGGATGCGGACCTGAATTCTTCATCCAGTCTTTGTTCTAATGGCATCCGTGTTGATTTAATAAAGAGACGAAAAGAATCCCCTGCGATCGGCGGTGGAGCGTTTGTTTTTCCTCCTGGTATGAGGCTCGTCTGCTAACAGCCGGCCGTGTGGCTCGTTAATGAGCAGAAACTGCCACTTCTGTGGACGTGTCGCAGTTATGGAGGACAACTGTAAAAAGTAAAGTTCTAAAGGGTTTGGGAATGACTCGGGGAGGCAGTGCAGAAAAAGAACGCTCCCCCATTCCCTGGTCTTCCTCCTCCTCCTCGCTCCTTTGCTTCTCCCTCGACTATCAGTGGATTTACGCCAACAGGTCTGACAAAAGCCTGAGCTCTCCAGGAAAACGAGAGGGTTTAAAGCTCATAAATTCCATGCTGTACAAAATGCAAATGTGCCCTCTGCTGATAAGAGCTTTTAATCCTGCAGCACTCCTGCTAAGTACACCGGCGCTCCTATCTTTACTCCGTTCATCCCATTCTTTCTGTGCAGCTCTTTTATTTTCCATCTTTCCCACCCTTTTTTGCTTTGTTTCATCTTTAACCCTGACTTCCTTCAGCTCTGGTCTGACACCCCCCCCCCCCCCCCTCCATCCCGCAGGCCCATGTGCTTCGTGAAGCAGCTCGAGGTGCCTCAGTACGGCAGCTACAGGCCCAACATGGCCCCCTCGACGCCTCGCGCCAACCTGGCCAAGGAGCTGGAGAAGTACTCCAAGGTCTCCTTCGATTATGCAAGCTTCGATGCTCAAGTGTTCGGGAAGCGCATGCTTGCTCCAAAGATGACCACCAGCGAAACTTCACCCAAAGCCTTCAAACGTAAGACGGGACTTTTGGCTTTTTCCTCACGTGCACCAAAGAAAGGTTCAGACGTAAAATGTAAAGCTTTATGTGGATTTAACAGAAACAAGTTGTGCTTTGTCACCGTTTGCAAGAAGATGAGACAAAATATTAACTTTACATTGTGACCATTCGTGAAGTGTTACACAATAAAACTTTTAAAAATATAAACCTACGCCATCTAATATAGCAACTCTTTAAGGCATGTCTTATCCTCCAAACTGGTTCCAGTCCAAGCAGCACAGTAGGGCAGTGGTTAGAGCCTCACCTCCCGGCCTTTCTGTGTGGAGGTTACATGTTCTCCCCATCAGGGTTTTCTTCGGCCACTCGGAGTTCTTTCGCCCCAGTGTGAAAGAGAGAGTGACTGGTGTGTCTGTCATAATATTTATCTGATAGATTCCAGTTTGGTTTTGTTAATAATGTCATGGCATTCCTCAGGGTTCAGTGCTTGGACCGATAGTCTTTACTTTAAATATGCTTCCATTATTAGACAGCACAGGATACATTTTCATTGTTACGCTGACGATACTCAGTTATATTTATCCATGAAGCCTGGTCGTTCGACAGCACGGTAGAACAGGTGGATGAGCTGTCGCCTTTCAGCATGAAGGTTGCCGGATTGAACCCCGTCCGGGGGCCTTTCTGGGTGGAGTTTGCATGTTCTCTTCATGCATGCATGAGTTTTCTCCAAATACTCCGGTTTCCTCCCACATACTAAAAACATGCATGTTAGGCTGATTGGTAACTTTAAATTGTTCGTAGGTGAGTGAGAGAATGAATGGTTGTTTGTCTCTGTGTCCCTGTGATGGGACTGGAGTCCTGTCCAGCATGTCCCCCCTCTTGCATAGTAACCGCTGGAGATAAGCACCGGCTTCCCAGGATCCAGAAAGAAAAAGTGATTAAAGAAAATAGATGGATGTTTCCATTTCTAAAAAGAACTATTGTGAATGCCACAAGCAGCGACTCCAGCACCAGAACACGAGGCCGAAACTAAGAAGTGGACTGGAGAAAGGTTCACAGAGACCAAGGACCAATGAGAATAGGTTTAAAAACTCCAGGTTTGTTCAACATTTAATTTAGAAGAGAACAAAACAAACATCCACGTTCTAGTTTTAGAACATCGAGGCACATTTATAGACCAACCTCTTGTTTTTAAATCTCTCCTTTATTCCCCTTCTAGCCGTTATTCTTGTGAAATTGGTTTGAATGATCAATTAGGAATAATAATTCAACAGATTTATTTCTTCCACTGCTGTTTGTTTGTTTTCCTTCTCCAGCTAAGCCCTCGTTCCCCAAGTCACCGTCGCCCAGCCTCACTCTGCACGCGTACGGAAAGAGTTCCACCTTGGCCTACGACTACTCCCACGACGCCGAAGCTGCTCACATGGCCGCCACCGCCATCCTTAACCTGTCCACACGCTGCTGGGAGAAACCCGAGAACCTTAGCACCAAACCACAAAACAAGGTAACCGCAACCGCCTGGTGTTTAATGTTCCACGTCTATAAACTCATCCGTGCTTTGACGCGTTTTTCCCGTCTTCTTTCTGTCGAGCCTGGATTATTGGCGACCGCAGCGCGGACGAAACATTTCTGGCCACAGCTGCGAGATGAGCGGTGATAGCGGTGCCCTCCCTTCTTCTTCTTCTTCTTTTTTTTTTTCTTTCCACGTCAACATCACATGAATTTATCATCAAGAGGCTTACAGCAACAGGACGGTGTTGAGATTGGGTTGCATCACCTCTCGCGTCCTCGTTCATCGTTTCATCCCTCCATCCCACACACTTTTCATGTTGTTATTGAATTTGGCTCACTGCCAGCTCCCTGGATTACTTTTCCACCAGGTAGCCTTTTTTCATTATCTGCCGGACCCATCTCCCACTCAGTTTCTCCACCCCCTCCACTCGTTCTTTAATTTTCTCCTTTACTCTTATCTCCATCACTTCCTCCAGACACAAGTTTCACTTCCTCCGTTCATCGGCACCTCCTTATTTCTCTCTCTCTGTGCACAGGGTGTGTAATCTGAGCACCACTTTCCCCCCATATTGTGATTTTTAACGGCCTGTTTGCCTCACCGAGGAGAGGAAGTGGCTGCTTCGTCCTTTTATTATTATTATTATTTGCTTTCCTGCACGGTTTCAGGACGATGCTAAGACTCGGTGCGTCTGGCGGCAAAGCAGCACGGTGTTTTTCAGAAATGGCGACGATCCAAGAGCAGGCTTCGCTGCACAGATCCACTGATCTGGAGTCGGAGTCCGTTGAAACGCGATTTTAAAACAAACTATGCTCATCAATCTGGGACCTTTCTGGAACTGATCCAGTTTTCTTTCTGCGTGCTTTGATGTTTTCAGATGTTGACCAGGCATATGAGCGTTTTACATACGAGCTGAAAACACGGCTCCTTTCACCCCTCGCTTTCTGTTCACCTGCCAGCGCCGGAATGAGTCGTGGCGTTCTGAAGCGCCGTCGTCAGTGCTGCCGGCACCGCGTTAACAAACGCACAATCTGTTAACGTTCTTAGCAGCTGAGGGTGAAACGCTTTGCGACTGGATAAATGTTTCTTTGGTTCTGGCTCGGAGGCAATTTAACAAAACAAGAAAAAATTAAAAGTAGCAGAAAATCTTTTTTCTACACAAGAGAGTTACGAACAAACACTGACCTTACTGAGTATGCTAATATATTCGAGGCACGGCAAAAGTCTCGTTCCCAGTTTGACACCACAATCTTTTCACACGTTTCCCCATAAAAAGATAAATTATTTGCTCAATAAGCTAAAGACAACTTAGCAGTTTTAGCTAACAAGCTTTAGTTGATACAGTGATGAAATTTAAATAAAGCTTTTTGTAGCCAGGTCTTTAGGTCTTCTAATTCATTTAAAGCATCAAAGCTCCATTTATCCTAAAACATAAATATAATGTGTTGACAACTGAATATTTTTGTTTTTATTTAGCTTCAGCTAACTAGCGACAAAGTAAAAAGCTACACATGCCAAATATACATTCAGCTAGTTTGCTACCACCGTATTTTTTTTTTAAGTTTACTACCTAACCCACTAAATTTACAATCGAGACAAATTTAATATAATGTGGTAACAACTAAATATTTTTATTTATCACACTTATTCAGCTTAAGCTAACAAGCAATGAAGCAGAAAGCTAAACACGCAACGTGCACATCAGTTACAGTCTGATCATTTTAAGACCCGGGCGTTTAAAATCTACTATTTGAAAAAAGTAAATACAGTACGACTACAAAATATTTTGGTTTTGTTTAGCTCAAGCTAACTAACAACGTAACAAGCTGCACATGCTAAGCATATGTTCTGCTAGCACGCTTCTCGTAGCTACTTTGCTACATGCAGATTGATGTAAAAATTAAAATAAACTTATTTTCAAGTCCATCACATTTATGCTAAAAAGTAAATTTAATGTGGTGACAACGGATTTCTATCATTTAGTTTAAGCTAACTAGCAGCAAAGTAAAAAGGTACAGATGCTAATTATACATTTTGCTAGCATGCTTGTTTTAGCTACTTTGCTACATGCTAATTGTGTGAACGCTTATGAAGCATTCACACAATTGTAGTCCATTTATCTTCTGCAAGGTTTTCAGCATCTTTCTCCTCCCGCAGTTTTTCAGCTATTTCAACAAATCATGAATCAAAACGTTCAGCTCTTTCAGGACAATCCTGCTGTGACTTTTGGTGTTGGTGCAACTTTAGCTTTTTGAAATATTTAGCCTTTTCTGCCACTTTTTTTGTCATAGAAAATGAACTGAGCTCATTTTACGTCCTTCGAATCTTTAGATCTGTTTACAACCTTTTACTGCTCCTTTCACATTTTGTTCTGCTTCAGCTGCTTTCAGCTTCCTTCTGCAAATTTAAACTTTTTTTCAGCTACTTTCAGCTAATTTCAGATGTTTTATCAGATGTTTTGTGCTCTTTACAGATTCTTTCTAACTAAATGCTTTTTGTGCTTCTCCTAACTTCTTTCTGCTAATTTAAGTTTATTATGTTCCTTTCATCCCTTTTATACAAGTTTCACCATTTTCTACTATTTCAGCTACTATTCAGCTGTTTTATGCTATTTTGAGCTTTTTTGGCTAATTCCACTTTTTTGTCCATATTCTTTGCACTCATTTCAACCTTTTTCAGCATAATTAGGCTGAATTGATTCAGCAAAGCTACTTTCAGCTTTTCTTTTCTTTTCTTTTTTTTTGCTTATTTCAGCATTTTTCAGATAATTTTCACTTTTTTGTGCTCATTTCTGATTCTTTCAGCAAACGTTCATTCTGCTTTCTTCTGCTAATTAAAGCTCATGCTACCTTTTTAGCTACTTTTGTCATTTTAGCTAATTTCAGCTGTTTTCAAATAAATTAAAGTTTTTCGTAATAATTTCTGCTACTTTCTGCATAATTAACTTATTTCTACTAATTTCAGCTCATTCTGCTCCTTTCAGCTTTTTTCTGCTAGTTTCAGCTTTTTCTGCTATTTCAGCGACTATTTAGCTGTTTTGTGCTAAATTTAGCTTTTTCAGCTAATTCCACATTTTTTTTTAGCTCTTTTCAGCTCATTCCACTTCCTTCTGGTAGTTTAGTGTCTTTCAGTCTTCTCCGCTACTTTTCAGCTGTTTTTTGCTAAATTCAGCTTTTTTTTTAGCTAATTTCCTTATTTTTGTGCTAATTTCTGCTTATTTAAACCTAATTCAGCTAAATGTGTTCTTTCTTCTACTAACTTGGGCTTGTTCTTCCATTTCAGCATGTTTTAACTAATTTCAGCTGTTTTTCAGCAATTTCTTCAGCAATAAGCATCCACATTGCATTTTTGCAGGACATGCAATTTCTCTAGTTAATTTAGAAAAGTCACTTAGGCCTTTGCTGAAAAATATATAAAATATTACGGTGACAACAAAATATTTGTTATTTTGTTCCAGCAGACTCACAACAATTAAAACGATATGCTAAGTATCCATCATGCTAGCTTGTGTGCTGTAGCTAACTTGCTACAGTTGATTTATTTTAAGAATTTAAGCCAACCCACTGTTTTTTTTTTTTTTTTAAATCACAACATTATGGTGACACAATAAAATGTTATTTTTTCTGTCACTTGTAGCTCAAGCACACAATTTGTTACTTGCTCTGTGTTAGTTTAGTTAGTTGGGTCGTTCAAGCTAACGCAACGAGCGAGTTGATAAACGAGCTAAGATCTTTCTTTTTTGCCATGAGTTGAGCAACGCTGGTTTTTCTATTAGTTTAGGAGTTTTGTATGTTTCAATTTTAAATCTTTTAAGTGGTAAATACCATATTTGGAGTAAAAACATAAAAGCTCACCCAGCTGATTATTCTACATTTTCTCCTCAGGAAATGGACATTGAGGTCGATGAGAATGGAACCCTGGACCTAAGCATGAAGAAGCCCATCAAACGAGAGGGCAGTCTGTCAGGCACCAGCCCGGGGGTTCGATCCCCAGATCCTTCGTCTTCCTCCTCCTCGTCATCCTCCCTCCATCACAGCGGAAACAGTGGAGTGACGTCGCCAAACCTGCAGACATACAAGCAGGAGGACTGGGAAGGACCTCTGGATTTCACCAAACCCAACCGCCAAAGGGAAGAGGAAACGGACGAGGTCAGTGCAGCGAGGCAGAACAGGGTTAGAGCTTCCATATTTCCTGCAACATTAGTCGCAGAGGAAATACTTCTACTAAAATAACAACAGGCAAAACTCCCCCCGAAGCCTTTTGAATGAAAAGTTCTTGTTTACATCACTTTTCTTGTCTAATTGCCTTTCCTTATTTCCTGTCCCCGTTTTCCCTCTTTCTATTATTCATTTATTTCAGTGAAAAACAAGAGTTACTGCGCAGTTAAAACACTGCACTGTGTGGCAGAGGTGGTGTGTCAGGTGCATTGCACCATCCTAGATTTGGCATATGCTAATTTTCACGGCTTTGAACTTTTTCAAAAGAAATTTAAAGGACCTTGAATGTTAATTTTTTATGATGACACTTTGCATTTGGAAACTCCACGTCTATAAAAAATAAATAAAAAGGTGTCTCAGAGTTTTTTGTTGTTGTTGTACATTGATGCCATTATCAAAATGAGGCTTCAAAAATATCAATCCTCAGAACAAATAAATGCGTAATATGTCCTACCTGCCTTTATGGTATTATGTAGATGGAGCACACTGCCCAGTCATACGTCTCATCGGACCCAGAAGACTGTGACCTGATGCAGGACTGCCTGGAGGACAGGAAGTACCCTGGAGAGGTGACGACCCCCACCTTCAAAGTCAAGTTTCAGCCCAAGGATAGCAAAAAAGAGCTGCTCTCGTAAGTCTTTTTTCAATTTCACACATGTGGTTAATGTAGCACAGCTCGGTGGGGTTGTGTCACGGTTTAACGGAGGCTGGACTCAACGATGCAAACTGTTACAAGAGGCTCAAACAACAGAACAAACCTGATTTTAAACCAAAAACAAAAGGCTGCCGAGGCTTTAAAACCTAAAGGGAGACACGGGGAACACCAGACTTGGCGTCAGAACCAATAATGCTCCCCCGAGGAAGGAGTGAGAAGTGAGGGACTAAAAGGGCTGATGAGTGGAGTGGCTGCAGCTGCGACAAGTGGAGACGAGCTCACTGGAAACGTACTGACCGAGGACTCAAGCAACAGAACTAAGCACAAGAATGACAAAATTAAAACAAATGAGGGAATAAACAGAATAATTAAAAAAAACAGATTCTGACTGACAGCTTTTTGCATTAACGAGGATTTTAATTTTAGCTGTGATAAGATTATTGGTTCAAACTTTTGTCTCAGCTACAATCAATTAGAAAAGCAAAATAAAAGTATCATTTTAAAGTTTTAAGCCTGGTCGATGAGCAGAACTTGGAGGGTAAAAGATTCTCGGCTGTAAATACACCAAAATTTACAACAGTCTAAAAGTTACTGAACTGTGGCCATTTTTGAGTCGGCTGTGGCAGCCATTGTCAAGGGAATTTGGGTAAAAGTTTATGGACGTTCGTCACTAATGTTAAATTAATGTGTGTGAATTAAAGAGTTGTTTTTCCTCTCAGAGAGGAGCCTGCAGGTGCACCTGATAACTCCAAGGACAGCTCCAAGTCTAAGCTGTGAAGCCGAGGTCTCACTATCCGGCTCGAAGGACCAAAAATGTTAGATAAATAAATATCCTATTATTTATCTACTTACTCAAATAAGCCACTCTGAGGACACAAGAAGATTTTTAACCGGTCTTTTACTTGCAAGGACAGAACGGTCACGAAAACTGGCTTTCCCAGATGTTACATGCTTAGAGCCTCGTCAGTGAGAATCAGTGACAGTGAGGCAGGAAGTGTTTTTATAATCCTTATCAGACAGAGGCAGGTCAAGACGACCTTGACTTGGAGCCATCCTTGGAGTTATCAGGTGCGCCTGCAGGCTCCTCTGAGAGGAAAAACAACTCTCTAACTCGCACACATTAATTTAACTTTAGTTAGAGACAAACATTCATAAACATTTACTTAAATTCCCTTGACAGCCATCTTGAATTGGGTGGCATTTACATGATTACCCACCTTTTGACATGGGCGTCATACTTTTAAAAAATATTACATTTACTGGTCTCGGCAGTCTGAGCTGTGTTTATATTGAAGGGTACATTTTTCCATAAAGTTACGGTTTAATTTGTCTCATGTTAGAAAATCTGCTGGCTGACCGGAGTGCTCCTGCCTACAGGACCAAACCCTTTCTGACTTTAAACGTAAGCAATGAAATCTTAAAATCCACCCAGAAATGGACGGGTTATGAGTTCACGCTTCTTAAGTGCCCATTACAAGACTGAACATCGCAGAGAAGATGGAACCAAACCAACGTTTAGACCAGGACTATTCAACTGAACTGCTCGGGGGGCCACAGTTACGGAGAGCCAAGAGCTCAGGGGCCGGACATCCAGAAGTTATTATCATTAAGTTTGTTTTATGGTTTAAAATCTAGTTTTATTTAAAAAATGAACCCACTGGTGGGCCCAACTGAGCTCACCTGTGGGCCTGATTTGGCCCCCCGGGCCACCAGTTGAACATCCCTGGTTTAGACACTTTTTTTCAGCTAATTTAATCGAAATTCACTCTGATGAGAGGTTTTAGAGGTTTTAGAGGTCTGAGATGTGCAAACTTTCAGGGGTTTATCTGACTGATCTTTATAAATTGAATAAAGAACGTCAGTTAAACCTCAAAGGTTTATTGATTTCCTTTATTGGCCTGAAGAACTAAATATCAAATTTAAAGCGAATCGTTTCTGCATTACCTGACTCTTGATCTCTGCCCATCCTCCCCCCTCCCTCCCCCATCTGCAGGTGTCCCACACCTGGCTGCGACGGCAGCGGACACATCACCGGAAACTACGCGTCCCACCGCAGGTATGCTCGTCTTCGGCTGTGTTCGGCTGCTTCTCGTTGGCTCGGCTGAAGCTCTGCTGCGAGGCCTGAGCTGACTAATCCAAACGTTTTATTTGATGGTGACGCGCCGGAGGCAGGAACGTGGCGTGAGCCCAGAAAGCAACGGCGCTCGTTGACTTTGATACGCATCAGTAATTTACTTCTTTCTGTCTGCCCTCTAAATGACCTTGGTATGCCTTGCATTCTTGATTTCCCTTCACTCACGTCTTTCTCCTCTCTCTTTTCAATCCCCTGGTTTTCCTCCGCCTGTCCTTCGCTCTTCCTCCTCCTCCTCCTCTCAGTCTGTCTGGGTGTCCTCTCGCTGATAAGAGCCTCCGGTCCCTCATGGCGGCCCACACCCCTGAACTCAAGTATGTCTGCTCTACACCTTTGTTGCCCTTTCTCTGCCACCTCAGCGCACCGACACGGCGCAGCGCCTCATTCTGCTGACGTTTCCTTTATCTTTTATGGCTGGCTGCTTTATCTGCTGCTGCTGCATCTGTCACGGTGCTTTTATTTATTTATTTATTTTCTGCGAGCGATTGGCCTCCACTTTCTTTCATCTGTCGTTCAAAGCTAAAATTGAGCCAGTCGTACCGTCCGCTCCGGTTCTGGGGAATGATTCTGAAACTATTCAAATCTCACCTCGGGTGAACCAAAACACACAACGGGTTCCACCATGACTTTATTTATTAAACGCAAACAAAATGTTAAAGCTGTGCGTAAAAATGTTTTAAAAAGCCTCGGAGGTTCAGCTGCTGATCAAATGTGTCGATTAACTGAGAACGCCTCTGTCTGGAGCATACAGGTGTGTTTAACACAGCTCCGAGGTGGAAAGACATCAGCAATGACTGACTGTTGCTGCCCGTCAATCGGAGAAGGGTCAAAGGTCGTTCGAGTTCATTGTTGTGCAGAGAAAGATGATTCACACGTGGGAAACATTTAAGACAGCTGACAATCTCAGGAGTGGACGTCCCTGAAGACTCACCCTGAAGGTCAGACTGTGCAATGTTGAGAAACATTGTCTGAGTCTCTACATGTCTCAGTTAGCAGGTTAAAGGTCAAAGGTCATGGCTTGTTTGGAGAAAGTCTCTTCTCTAAAAATGTTTCATCCGAAGGAACCAAAACCAAACGAACCTGGAGCTGTTGCCCCAGAATGCACTGCAGCAAACCCCTCCTCCTAGCTGTCAGCACGGGGGTAGAGGGCTGATGGTTTGGGCTCCCGTCAGTCACCAAGTGGACCATGAACTCTGTAGACCAACAGGTTCTGGAGTCAACTGTGAGTCCATCTGTCCAACAGCTGAAGTTTGGACCAAAGTGGGTCCAACAGGAGCTACTCTACACCAGAACGGGTCAAAAAGAACAGAACCAAGGTGCTGTAACAGTCCAGAGTGTAGACTAAACGCTGCAATGGGGCCTTCAAAAAGAGCTGAGCAGAAACCTCAATGAACTAAAACGATGGAAAGAAGAGCGGGCCAGAACTCCTCCACAACCACGAGACAGCTGAACCTCTGAGCGCTCCTGCAGCTGCTGAAACTGCTGCTGAAGCAGCTTCAGCAGCAGTTTCAGCAGCTGCAGGAGCGCTCAGAGGTTCAGCAGCAGCTGAAGCTGCTGAAGCTGCTGCTGAACCTCTGAGCGCTCCTGCAGCTGCAGCAGCTTCAGCAGCCACGTGTTGGTCCAGCTCCTGCAGCAGCTGCTGAAACTGCTCCTGCTGCTGAAGCTGCTGCAGCTGCTGCAGCTGCTGAAGCTGTTGCAGCTGCTCCTGCTGCTGAAGCTGCTGGACCACCACGTGGACGTAGTTTTCCACACACAGCTTTAACATTTTGGGCTTTGATTCATTAAATTGTTTTTTTTATTCTTCAGTTCAACAGAAACGTTTAAATTAATAAAAAGATGAGCAGGTTTAACGATCATCTCTCGCTGCACGACGATGTTTATAAATATTCACGGTTCGTTGCTCGACACTAAACGACGAACTCTTCCTTTTCGCAGGTGTCCCACTCCAGGATGCGACGGCTCGGGGCACATCACAGGAAACTACGCCTCCCACAGGAGGTAACGAAACACACGAAGAAGAGCTTCATGTGGAAACACGCAGACAGTCAGACAGACAGGCCTAGAGACAGCTCATGGTGCAGGTAGACAGGGACCACATTCACATCCTCCACTTCTCAGGCGCCTCTCGGCTCATCTCATCTGGTTGAAGAACCGCTTGAACATTACTCTGCCTTCTCATGATCTCTCCCTTTATCAGTCACCAGATCTTTTTTTATTTATTTTCCAACCCCAATGTTATCAACTCCATACTTTCTGTTTTCAGTCTCTCTGGGTGCCCGCGTGCCAAGAAAAGTGGAATTAAAACTCCTACCAAGGACAACCAGGAGGACTCGGAGCTTTTAAAGTTCGTACCGCTCAGACAGCCGTAACGTCTGCCTTTAACATGACTGACGGTAAAAGTGAAATGCAACAAAGGACAGAGAGGGAGAGACAGAAAGAGAGGACATACTGAATCGAATCCGGCTGATGGAAACATACTCTGAGTAGTTTATGGTAGAGTTGTTGAGCGCAGCTTTGGTTTACATTTGCACACACAACTGTAACTAGCAGCACATTGATAACTACAGCATACCTAAATCAATTACTGTAACTTACCAAGAAAAGAAAATGTCTTTTTTTACTTTTACAGGTCCTTCTCAAAAAATTAGCATATTGTGATCAAGGTCATTATTTTCCATAATGTAATGATAAAAATGAAACTTTCATATATTTCATATTCATTGCACACCAACTGAAATATTTCAGGTCTTTAATTGTTTTAATACTGATGATTATGGCATACAGCTCATGAAAACCCAAAATACCTGTCCCAAAAAATTAGCATATTTCATCCCACCAATGAAAGACAAGTGTTTTTAATACAAAAAACACCAACCTTCAAATAACCATGTTCAGTTATGCACTCAATACTTGGTTGGGAATCCTTTTGCATGAATGACTGCTTCAATGTGGCGTGGCATGGAGGCAATCAGCCTGTGGCACTGCTGAGGTGTTATGGAGGCCCAGGATGCTTCGATAGCGGCCTTAAGCTCATCCAGAGTGTTGGGTCTTGGTCTCTCAACTTTCTCTTCACAATATCCCACAGGTTCTCTATGGGGTTCAGGTCAGGAGAGTTGGCAGGCCAATTGAGCACAGTAATACCATGGTCAGTAAACCATTTACCAGTGGTTTTGGCACTGTGAGCAGGTGCCAGGTCGTGCTGAAAAATGAAATCTTCATCTCCATAAAGCTTTTCAGCAGATGGAAGCATGAAGTGCTCCAAAATCTCCTGATAGCTGCATTGACCCTGCGCTTGATAAAACACAGTGGACCAACACCAGCAGATGACATGACACCCCAGTGACTGTGGAAACTTGACACTGGACCTCAAGCAATGTGAATTCTGTGTCTCCTCTCTTCCTCCAGACTCTGGGACCTTGATTTCCAAAGGAAATGCAAAATTTACTGTAATCAGAGAACATAACTTTGGACCACTCAGCAGCAGTCCCAGGTGAGATGCTTCTGACGCAGTCTCTTGTTCAAGAGTGGCTTGACCTGGGGAATGTGGCACCTGTAGCCCATTTCCTGCACACGCCTGTGCACGGTGGCTCTGGATGTTTCTACTCCAGACTCAGTCCACTGCTTCCGCAGGTCCCCCAAGGTCTGGAATCGGCCCTTCTCCACAATCCTCCTCAGGGTCCGGTCACCTCTTCTCATTGTGCAGCGTTTTCTGCCACACTTTTCCCTTCCCACAGACTTCCCACTGAGGTGCCTTGATACAGCACTCTGGGAACAGCCTGTTCGTTCAGCAATTTCTTTCTGTGTCTTACCCTCTTGCTTGAGGGTGTCAATGATGGCCTTCTGGACAGCAGTCAGGTCGGCAGTCTTACCCATGATTGTGGTTTTGAGTAATGAACAAGGCTGGGAGGTTTTAAAAGCCTCAGGAATCTTTTGCAGGTGTTTAGAGTTACGTCGTTGATTCAGATGGTTAGGTTAATAGCTTGTTTAGAGAACCTTTTCATGATATGCTAATTTTTTGGGACAGGCATTTTGGGTTTTCATGAGCTGTATGCCATAATCATCAGTATTAAAACAATTAAAGACCTGAAATATTTCAGTTGGTGTGCAATGAATCTGAAATATATGAAAGTTTCATTTTTATCATTACATTATGGAAAATAATGACCTTTATCACAATATGCTAATTTTATGAGAAGGACCTGTATCTGGCTATTTACTTTCATTTTCATTTCTTCACCGTTGTTTCATGTTAACTCTTCTTTTGTCCCCTGTCCTCCCCGTCCCCGTCCCCGTCCCCAGCAGATGCCCCGTGCCGGGCTGCGACAGTCTGGGCCACATCAGTGGGAAGTACGCCACGCACCGCAGCGCCTACGGGTGTCCGCTGGCGGCCCGCAGACAGAAGGAGGGCCTCCTGAACGGGACGCCCTTCAACTGGAAGGCCTTCAAGACCGAGGGGCCCACCTGCCCCACCCCCGGGTGTGACGGCTCCGGGCACGCCAACGGGAGTTTTCTCACACACCGCAGGTGAGCTTCAGCCTGAAAACTAAAGAGTTGTTTCCTGCATCAAGGCAGCAGGAATGCTAAAGGATTCGGCTGCTGAACGAGCTAAAGCTTGTTTTATTTATTTATTAACCTTTATTTAACCAGGCAAAACCCTCTGAGATCACAGATCTCTTTTGCAAGAGAGGCCTGGGCCTGAAGGCAGACTAACATGTATGTTATGGTTTGTAGAAAGAAACTGATGGGAGCATAAAAAGGCTTAAGTTACTAAACAATAAACCAGAAAGTGGCACAAAAAGTTGAAAACAGAAGAAAAAGTAAACTAAAGAGCACGAAGCAGCTGGAATTAGTAGAACCATCGGTGCTACGCCACGAGAGTCCACATCACAATACTGTCCAAACTGTTTAAAACACCCGCAACACTTCCAATCAGGGACGCACAATATTACCAGCATGGTATCGATATCGTCCGATATTAACGATAACGTTAAATATCAGACATCGACCATTCCATCAAAATAACTCACTTCTGTTTTAAGTTCATTTTTAATTTAAGAAACTGTCAAGTATATCTATTAATGCACTACTACTCATGCACGTTTCACGTGCCGCTTGTGAACAGGTTGAGTTTAGATTTGTGAAAGTTTACACCGAGTGTTGTCGTTGTGTTAGAGAGTAAATATGAATAAAATTAACATTAAACATAATCCAAGTTGAAGTGTTGTTCAGTCCCTTTTTTTGGCATCTGCATTTGGTAGCAGGACAAACTGACAAATACCGTGAAGAATAAAGTATTTTAATTCCACAGCAGAGAAATATGTGTAGTGTCTGGAAGTAGGTCTGGGGGGAAAATATCGATATTTGTATCGGTTATCGGCCAAATAAGTTTTAACATATCAGATATCGGCCAAAAATCCAATATCGTGCGTCCCTACTTCTAATTACTAATGTTTGTTTGTTGTTTGTGTTTGCAGCCTCTCAGGTTGTCCCAGAGCCTTGTTCGCCAAGAAGAAGGCCAAGTTCCCTGCAGAGGACTACCTGAGCACCAAGTTCAGAGCCACCGACGGTACGACGGTCGGAGAAATGGACCTGCCACGTGCTGAACACTGAACCTTTGGTTTAAAGCACTTTGAACAGGCACATTCCTTTATTTAATGAAGAAATAAGTACATTTGGATAAACAGTAAGGTTTATATTTTATCTAAGCAAATAAAGTCAGGTCCTCTGGACAGACTCTTCAGAAGACTTCAGTCTGAGGAGCTGCAACAAACTCAGTCTCATAAATAGAATCTTCTCATAGTGGATCAACCAGTTTGCTGCTGACACATAATTAAATAGGACCATCAGCCCAACAACTGATCGTTAGTGCCCTGGTGGCCACTTGTTATTCACAGGGGGCTGAGTGATACTAGCAATAACAGAGGGGGACAGTTGGACACGGAGGCTCCGCCCCTGTTTGATGATGGACAGTTTCTCTTCACAAAGATGGCCTCCTTCACTCCTCTGTTTATATTTTATCTTGTTGAATGGAGGTTAAAGAAAAGATGAATAAAAATTAAAGTTAAAATATAAGAAGACGGTAAAACTACAAATAAAATAGCGCATATGGCTCATTATACACCCATCAACAAACTATTACACAGCAACACATAGAGATGGACCGGGCAAGCAAAGACCTTGTATAACATTTGACCTTGATTTGTGACCGTGACCTTGGAGCTGGCACAATGAAAAGTTTATGGAGTAACAAATGTGTATGAAGTTTTGTGAAACGAGCGATCAGAAGTCGTGGGCGGGACAAGAGGAAGTTTACGTACGGAGCCTACACCGTAATACGTCCATCTTTTGTCGGACGAGTAATAAAAACACAGAATAAACGTTCATCAAGTTTTATTCAGTTTTTCTTTTTTCTCTTTTTTTTGGTTCGTCTGTTTTAGTTTTGGACAACGACGACGACATCAAGCAGCTCAACAAAGAGATAAACGATCTGAACGAATCCAACAACGAAATGGAGGCGGATATGGTCAACCTGCAGACTCAGGTGAGTCCTGCTGCCGTTCGTTTCCCTCGACGGGACCGGATCACCGGATTCTGTCCTCGGCTCTGTAACCAGGGTCCGATAAGAAGCGTTTGTTGTTTTACTCGTCCGTCTGTCCTCTGAGTCCACTACGAGGCGGTTCTCTGTTTGGGTCACTTCAGCTCCGGTTCGAGGGATTCACCGAGTTCCAGTAACTCCTTTAGGAGAACTTCATGAGTCACACGTTGCATCTGAGTAATAATCTGATAAAAAGACCTGAACCAGGTTCACGTTGAGTCCAAGCACCGGAGCATTTATGTCTTTGAGGGATGAATCGGATCAGAAGTTTAACGATTAGTATCTTACCTGTTGTAGATAACACTTGAACGACAGTTTAGTTCTGACTGGATCGATGAGCTCATGGCTAGTCCGAACGGGGCCAAAACCAAAGTGGGGTGCCGTTCTCCTAAAACAACTCTAATCTCTGTAAACTCACGACGCTTCTTACAAATGTAAATAAAAATTATTGATTATTGAGGATTATTGAGCATGCATCAGGGTAAATAAAAATTATTTTCATGTTGATTTGAAGATGTTAAGTCTCACTGCTGCTCCGGGTCGTGGGGGATCGGGGAGTCTTGGCCTCAGGGGGAGGAGTTCAAGTACCTGGGTGTCTAGTTCCTGGGGGAGGGGAGGATGGAGGGGGAGACAGAGCGGGGCCTCGTCCTCAGTAATGAGGATGTTGCTTTGGTCGGTTAAGGTGAAGAAAGAGTGGAGTTGAAAAGCACAACTGGGTTTATACTGATTCATCTACGCTCCAACCCTCACCTGAGGTGTGGACCAGGACTGACAGAACCAGATCCTGGATCCAAACAGCTGAAATGAGCCTCCTTCGTGGTGGTGCTGGTTTGGGACTCAGCCTTAGAGAGGAGGAGGAGGAGCTCGGAGTAGTGTTGCTCCTCTGAGTCGGTTCAGGAGGTTCTTCTGATCAAGATGCCTCCCCTTGGAGGTTTTCTGGGCCTGTCCAGAACTCTCTGGATTTTATAATCCTCTCTGGTCTTGGGGTCCCCCAGAAGGAGCTGCAGAGTGTCGCCGAGGAGAGGGAGGTCTCTCCTGGACCTGGTGCCTCGTCGGCAGAAGGTGGAGATGGAGCTGAACTTTTTAATGATTTGCAGAATAATTATCTGAGTAAATGTGTCCTCTGGTTGGTGAGATATTTTGCTAACAGACGAAGGTGGTTCCGTGGTGGCCCGCCTCTGGCAGCAGCAGGTGAGAATCCCGACCTCAGGCCCAAAGTGACGGCGCTGTTGACCCCTCGTTGCAGATCTCCTCCATGGAGAAGAACCTGAAGAGCATCGAGCACGAGAACAAGATGATCGAGGAGCAGAACGAGGCGCTCTTCGTGGAACTGTCGGGTCTGAGCCGGGCCCTGATCCGCAGCCTCGCCAACATCCGCCTGCCCCACCTGGTGAGCTTTGGGTTCTCGTCTGCACCTCCGGGTGTTTGTTTCCCGTTTGTTGATCCCGCTCCTCTCCACAGCACGAGCCGATCACGGAGCAGAACTTCGACCGCTACGTGAGCACGCTGACCGACATGTACACCAACAAGGACTGCTTCCAGAGCCCGGAGAACAAGGCCCTGCTGGAGAGCATCAACAAGGCCGTGAAGGGCATCAAAGTGTGAGGCTCCACGGTGGAGGAGACGCTGAGGAACTCCACGATTCAAAAAACACACAAAAAGGGAATTCAGGTTATTAAAAAAACGACAACTTTAAAAAGAATCAACCCAGGGAGCGCTCTGTCCAAGAAAAGTGACCAAAACTCACGCCGCGCTGCCGCAGGACCTCGTCGGAGGAACCCCTCAGGCAGGACGGGCCAAGAGGAGAATCATGTTCCAAACGTTTACCGGATGGTTTGTATTTTTGTTACTTTTGGCTGGAGTGACGCTGAAGCCGGACGGGAGGACTCTGGTGGCGGTTTGTAGCACTCGCCGCGGCGCTCGCTCAAAGTCCAACACATCATGTCCGATCCCTCCGCCACCCCCCCCCCCCCCACCCCAGCAATATGAAGCACCACCTGAACGTTGGTGTTTGAGTCAGAGGCCAAAACAGATCTCAGACCAGCTGTTTCACTGATTTATTTAAAAGCAGCAGATCGACCCGCCCGGACCTGAAACGATGGTCGCACGTCGCTCCGGTCCGGTCAGTGACGTCTTTGGTATCGATTGCACTTCATTAAAAAAAAAAAATTTTGTTTGTTTTTTGCGTTACAATAATTTTTGTTCTAAATGAATTATTTAAACTTGTGAACTTTTAAATTGTAACTTATTACCATTTCATGTTGTTGAGGTTTATTTATTTGAAGCAAACTATTTATTATTATTATTATTATTATTATTTGTTTTTGTAAGAGAGAATGCATCTTTACTGAAAACCAACGAATCTTACGTCGATATTTTAAGAATCTTTATGACGGAGCAAAGCGTGTTTCGTTTTTTTGCTTTTTAAGAAAAAAAATCCTTTTTAAGTGCAGATGTTTTATAACAGAACGAACAGTTTTTGATAATTTTACAACTAAAACGGAATCGTTTTGAGTTTTTATTCTTTTTTCTTTTTGTTTGTTTTTTCGGCTACGAAAAACTTCTGAGAGGGAAAAATGTATTTATTATTTATTTAATGTGAGAGAGTCTCGGCTGTGTGTTTATTTTGTTATTTATGTGCGAAATGTGACGGTTGAGTCTGAGTAGTCTTAAAAGAAGTCCATTTCTAATATTCAAATAAAGAAACGACACCAGAACCGGTACCGTTTGCTTCAGACGAGCCAGCAGCTGATTGTACGGCGACCCAACTCGAGCACTCGATCGATTTCTGCGTTTAAAAACATTATTTAAAGATATTTTTACCTCCCGAGCGCTTTGTAGCGGCCAGCTCTGGCTCACCCAAACCTCTGAGGTGTACCACGACCCGTTTGACCCGGTCCACGTGGAGCGCTACTCCAGGCGCCGTATCCAGCCCTCCAGTACACCACACACACACACACACACCCTTGTAGCCTTACTCTAGATTTTAATTTTTTGATGCACAAAGTGCCGCTGATAACGAAAAGGAAATTTAAAAATAAAAGAGGAGACCTTAACTTTTCTTTTCCTGATTCTTTGCATCTTTGCAACGCGGTCCCGTCCGGTCCGGAGGCGACCGCGGCGCCGAGCTGATTGTTTCAGATGCCTTTATTTCTCTGCCAAGATGGCCATAAGTTCACGATATATACCTTCTGTACAAATAGAGTTTAAAGATGCTATATATAAGAATATAAACGGACATATATTTTTCCAGTGTAACTGTTGACGTCTTCTCTTGTATCAAAACGCTGTCAGAGGAGAAGTGACGAGGAGATGCTCCTGATCCAACTCCATGAAGACCTGCTCAACTGTGGCTTTAATTCAATGTTCAGTCCAGATGAAGGACAACCCCAGATCCAAACAGAAAACTCAAAACGTAAATCTCGTGAACCCGTTTTTTATTCACAGCGAAACAAAGTTCAGATTAAATTAAGAGCCTGAGCCGTTCTGGGGGAGAAAACACTCATTTAGAGTTTGATGTCAACGACACGGGTCTTTAAAGATGTTCCAGCTCCAAGTCTCCTCTGAGAAGCAGCTCCTCTTAACAAGTCTGAGGACAACCAGGACCTGAGGAGACCAGTTGTTGGAGGTTCTGGAGGACCTGAGGAG